GATGCAATATGAAAAGGTAGACCGATTGGATTGTTCAGGAGTATACCGTATATCATGTGGCGCCTGCGGACAGAAATATATTTGCGAAACAGGGAGAAAAATTAGCACACGAATCAAGGAACATCAGAGGCTCTGCAGCAAAATGGATACCGAAAGATCAGAACTAACAGAACATATCGCACAAACTGGACACGAGATCAATTGTAAGGCAACAGAAAGAAGAGCTCCATACGGTGACAACACAAGGAAGAGGAAGATTAGGGAGACAAATATAATAAACTGAAGATTGGAGGAAGGTAGAGTTAGCGATAATTTTGCCTACTGCTTAACCAAACTCAGGGAAAAAATAAAGAAAGACCAGCAAAAATAAGACGCCTGGATCAAGGATCTGCCGCTAATCGGAGGAAAAGGGATCGCGATGAGGAAGTTGGGGGAGGGTTTTTCGGCAATAAAGCGAATACGTTGTCAGTGAGTGATGTCTATTTCGAGTAAACCAGTACAACTTTGGAGGCCTAGCAGTCAGGGAGCGGGGCAGACTGATTAGCAAACCGTCACGGGAATTCGGTGTTGTGGCCAACATGAACTAGAAATCCACTTGAGATGCCGCTTGCGACCAGAGATAGGCGTCCACAGTTTGATCAGATAACATGGGTTTAATCAAGAAGAGGACCGTGAAGGGAAGACCTGATATCTGTAAGCATGGGAATCAGAGCTTAGGCGCTCTGCATAGTGAAACGCAGTGTACGTGCTTCTAGGCCCTTGAGAAATAGCGCCTGGAGTGAAATGCAGACTGTGACTGGAACCGAGTAAAATCGGTCAACCAGAAAGATAGTGAATGGATCTACGAGACCATGAACGGGATCTGGATTGGAGGCCCGAGTCGGATCAGCTGATCGAAAGAGATGGTTCGGGGTAAATAGCAAGTGTGATGAGGCCACGCTAGATTTGCCACAAAAGGGCACACATTTTGACGAGTTGAATGTAAACAAGTGGGAAGTTGTGATAGGGCGGCAGCGGGAGAAGAGGGTAAAGAGTAGATAAATAGGCCAGGACAGGAAGAGCAGTGATAGTGTAACCGCTTTCGGCAGAACGTTTGTAGAGGGATTGGCTTCACTTGTCTCTTTGACAAGTTCGTAGCTTGATGCGAAAAATGGCAAAACTCGCTGATGATGCCGACTACGATGCCGGCGAAACATTTGAGAATGTACCAAGTCCACTGTCAATTGCTGGGAATCATGAAACTACTATGGCAGACGACTTTGGACTAGGTGCGTTCGACATAGTCGCCTTGACAACAAGACCAAGTTGCGACAACGAGTTCAACTCACTTTTATAAATCGAATGGAGACTGCGACCATACCAAAGGCCACAACATCTTGGTTTTCATATATTCAATTGAGCCTTTTTTGTTTTAGTCTCAATGCGAGAGAGAAAGAGTGAGCCAAAAGTAAAGAGAAGTGACTATGATTAGAACCAAGACAAGGAAAAACTAGTTGCGTTGCGCTGCCTCCTTTTTGCAGGCGGCTCAACTACCTCTCTCTCCTTCAGTCTATTAATTACGCACAAGTAATTTTTACTTTTCTTACTAATATTCCTTACATTCAAATAAATTCCTATTCTGTTTATTTCTATGGCTTCTCTAATTTTACGTTTAGCCGCAAACATACCATAATCAGCAAAAAGAGAAGTTTGATACCATTCAATCTCGTGTCCCGCTTCTGACCTGTGCTCAGCCAACTCCGATTTTTGAACCCAACAGCCTTTGCATGCGCTTTTGTGCTTAGCCACCTTTTGCCAAATGGGACGACAAGTCTCTCCAACGTAAAAGCGACCACATAAACACATCATTTTGTAGCAACCAGATCTGGATAATGGGTCAACTTTCTCTCTAAAAGTGGGCATAACTAAAGAAAGTGTCGTAGTTTCCCTAAAGACCGTTTTTATTCCTCACTTTCTTAATTGTTCATCTATCCTTTTCAAGAGAATGCACGAAGGTAAAGAAAAGGTCTCCTTATCTCTCCTTACGTATTCACCATTCAAAAAGCTATTCTTTATTAATCTAATGTT